TGGCTAGTTCGTCTCAACAGGGCTCCGATGAAGATTTAGGGGGACAGCATCGTGACGTCGACGACAAGGACCTTGTGATAATACACGACTGATTTTTCTTTTGTTACAGCAAGCTTCTTGTTGTTTTCTGTACCTTGTATATCTACCGGTGTACATAAGGTACTTGTACGACAAAGAGCATCTACAGCCGCGGGCATCAAATCTAACACTCAAATGCCCGTGAACGTGTCCGGGTGCGTCCGCGAGCAGTGACCGAGCATAACTCTGATTTTCTTCTTAGATCTGAATACCTCATATTTCAAGGGCCCCGATAACTGCCACACGTGTGGGCGTTAAGAAATCTGCCCACACGTTTTGTGTGGTGCCTAAGAGGACCAGTCCACATGCTTGTGTGTGGGCAAAACAATTAGCGCCCACACGCCTCTTTTTTTCCTCCCGGTCCCTCATACACGCGTGCGTGTGGGCGAAAATAGATAACGCCCACACATCCGGTACGTCAGGCCTCGTACCTCGTGGTCCAGCACGCCCCACGTGACACTTTACAGCGTGCACGCAGTTGCCATGGGCCGGACCCTCGTCTATGTTCGTTTAAGTGCAGTTGCCATGTCGCTGAACTACGGTTGCCATGTCGGACAACTACAGTTGCCATGTCTGCTCAACTGCAGTTGCCATCTCAGGTCAAACTTCCAGATTGCCATTTTTTGGACAACTACAGCTATTGCCATGTGTGGTCTGGTCTACTGCAGTTGCCATGATTTTAAAACTTTAGGAGTTGCCACCTACTAACACTAGGCAGTTGCCGTCTAGCACTGAAAAAATGGCATGGCAAAAAAACATGTTCGGGTAAAAGAGAGAGTTGCCATGTGCTCACAAGCACGTTAGGGCAGTTGCCATGTAAAAAAAAAGAGTTGCCATCTGCTTACGTGCATGCTAGTGCAGTTTGCCATGTACCATGCAAAACATATGACAACTAACATGTTTGGGTAAAAAAAAGAGAGAGTTGCCATCTGCTTGCAATCACACTAGGGCAGTTGCCATGTACACTGTAAAACGCATGGCAACTGGCAGCTTGGGTGTGGGAAAGGAGGCAGACGTGTGGGCGACATGGCAAACGCCCACACATCAGCCCTTATGCGTGACTGAAAACTGGTGTGTGGGTGAACTGCTAAACGCCCACACACCGGTCCCTCCGTGTGCCAAATCGGATGTGTGAGCGAACTATGTCACACACCACACACACACCTTGTCCTATGTGGCACACAAAATCAGCCTTTTTATGCCAAGATTCGTGCAAAAGGCGCTGGATGATGATAAAAGCGTGTGGACGAGTTGGCTAACGCCCACACGTGTGGGCGTTAACATTTCCGTATTTCAAAGCTTAAATCCATACAAAGCATACAAAAAAAAAACCTACGGATCAACTAAAACCTAGCCTACACTACTTGTTTTCGTCGAAGATGTTCACGATTTCCGCGCTAGGCTACAGGTACATGGTCGGCAGCTACAACTCCAGCTCCCGCGGTCCATCCTCCGCCTCCACCTCCGCCTCCAGATAAGCAAAAAGCTCGTCGATCTCTGCCTTCCCTCTGGCGGAGGAAGCGGCGGTTGGCCTCCATCCCCCGCCTCCGTCTCCAGATAGCCGAAAAGCTCATCGATCTCCGCCTTGCGCTGGCGGAGTAAGCGGCGCTTGGCCTCCATCCCCCGCCTCCGTCTTCAGATAGGTGAAAAGCTCGTCGATCTCCGCCTTGCGATGGCGGAGGAAGCGGCGCTTGGCCTCCACTCCGCCTTAGGCTGGATGGAGGCGAGGATGGCCACCTAATCCGATGCCTTCACTGCCTTGACCAGCTCGTACTACGCCGGCCGCCTCAGGCATGTCGAAGCTCCGAGTTAGGGCCGCCACATCTCCGTTGGCCTCTTCTGCCGTGTCCTCCTCTAGCTAAATTTCGTATGTGACTTTATTTTTGACAAAAGTAAATGTTTTTTGGAACGGACATTTTTTAATTTTTATCATCTGCTAAAAAAATAAACTTGAAAAATATAAATGAAAATATATCGCTCAACGGCCGATTTACTATTTGTTTTTTGTTTCGTTTACATGTTTTCATTTTCCCATTTTTGTTCTTTCTGGAAAAAATTCTCACCCTAATAAAAATTTGTTCAAAATTTGAAAAAATGATCACTGTAACAAATTTTGTTCATAAAATACAAATGTTCGTGTTTTAAAAAAGTGTGCAAAAATCAATAAATTGTTTGTGTCTTTACAAGTTTCTCACAATGTCAAAACACAAACATTTTCTTAAAGAGCGGACGAAATTTTGAACATGAACTTCTTTTAGAATACTAAAAAATTTGGAATTCCAAACAAAAAATTGAGAAAATAACAACAAAAAATAAAAAAAATCTGAATTTCCCCTAACATTTTTTGTATTTGTGTAGAAAAAACACCATGTTCAACTTAGGGTGTTCGGGTAGGCAAAACGGCTCCATTTGAGGGTATGTTGTTTCTCAAAATCTCTCAAATGATCCTTTTTTATTTGCTTTTTTGAAGTTTTCTCCATGCCAAGTTGTTTTGGTTTTCTACAAATTTCCTTTTTCTGAAGTTTTCTCGGTCAAAAGAAGGTGATAAATGGTTGGACGTGTTGCAACTTGCATACGGTGTTAGAAATCATTCAAATCCGGCATGGATGCTTACCATGGGCATGCCCACCTTTTTGCAAAAGTTGGGCTCCATTCAAGAATGTCCAAAAATAGACTATGTTGAACAGAGAGTGTTCAGGTAGGCCATGAGGCTCTGTGTGATCACACGTTGTTTCTTGGTATCCTTGAAATGGACCCAATGTTTTCCATAACCTTATATGACCAATTCAGGGCACCTTGCCAAGTTGTCTCGGTTTTAGACAAATTTTGCATTTTCTACAGTTTTCTCGGTAAAAAAGACCAATAAATGGCAGGACGTGCCGCAAGTTGCATATTGTGTCAAAAAATTATTCAAATCTAACATGGATGCGTACCATGGGCATGCCCTACCTGCAAAAGTTTGGGTCATTTAAAAAATGTGCAGAAGTAGACCATGTTCAGCAGAGGGTATTCGGCTAGGCCACAAGGCCATAAGACTGAGTCTGAGAGCATGTTGTTTTCGGCATTATTTAAGCCCTAACTTTTTCGACGGCCTTGTATGACTAATGTAAGGCACCATGCCAAGTTGTTTTCGTTTTTGAAATGTTCTATATTTTATGAATTTTCTCGGTCAAAAATGACTGATAAATGGTCGTACGTATCACAACTTGCGTACAATGTCGGAAATTGTTTAAACCTAATGCCTACCACGGGCATGTCGACCTGCTTGCTTGCCAGAATTGGGGTCATTTCAAGTATGTATAGAAATAGACCATGTTGAACAGAGGATGTTCGGGTAGGCCAGGAGGCTCTGGGAGCATGTCGTTTCTCGACATCCTTGAAATGGACCCAATTTTTCCTATGACTTTGTCTGATCAATTCAAGACACTCCCTACAACGACGTTGCTTAGGACGACCGACGCCGATAGCTAGAGCGCTGGCAATGACATAGCCGCTCACGACAACAACAGCGACGATGTGATTAATGGGGATGAAGACGACCCCGAGGACATCAACTGCATGTCGGAGTCTGAGGAACATAGAAGCCTCGGGCCCAATGAATATGATGTCTTCGAGGAATGCCTTGAGGTACCTCGGCTCAAAATATTCCATAGACGATTGGCCAGCACGGACAAAAGCATCAAGCAAAAGTCCCAGTGACTTAAATCTGAAGAGGATGAACTTAATGACACATGGGTCAAGCTCCTCAGGGCGGACAAAATTACTGTTATGACCTATAAGTCTAACAAAATCCCGATTCGACCTCGCTTTGAAAAAAAATCGTTTTTGACCTTTTTAGGAGACGCCAACATCCCTGGCGTCTGGGTTGCGAAGCAGACGCCACGGATCCTGGCGTCTGGCCCCTGGCCCGCACTGTCCGCCTGCCCGTTGACCTACTGACGTGGCAAAGGGGCCAGACGCCAGGGACCCTGGCGTCTGGCCCTGGTAAGTGGATAACGGCGCGGGGCGCCCACCCATCCCCATCTCAACTTCTCTGGCGTTGGTTCAAGAACAGAGGGCTGTTCGTCGCCCCTTCTCTCCCTCCCACCACCACTCCCCTTGATCTACTCCATTAACCACTCAAACTCGCAGATCTGACCCCCCAAGCTTCTTTGAGGTATTCTCCCCCATTCCCTCCAATATGTTTTTGTTTTCCCCTTTCTTGTTGGATGCATTATTCAACACTAGGTGATGTTAGATGAGTAGATGGTTTCTTTGTTTTAGGAAATTGTTTGTAGTTGATAGATGATTTGGTAGGCAGTAGATGATGTGTAGTTGAACATGTAGGCAAAATCAATTCCGTTTTGTGTATATGTTGTCCATAGGTTTTTTTTAACTAAGAGGAGTGATGAATACATGATTTTTGTATGTAAAATAGACTTGTTTGATAATTTGGTTTGATAGATGATGTGTGTATGTGTAGATAATCCTATTGTTGGCATACTATATTTGCAAAAGATATGGTGAAATTTGGTACTCTAGATGATATGTATTTGCATATGTGACACCATATGATTTGACAAATTTATTTGATTGAGATGATGTTGGTATGTTTGAGAAGAATTATGTGTGCATATGAAGAAGAAGAAAATGATGTGGTTATGTTTGAGAAGAATGGTTTGTTCATATGGCATAACTTGGAGAAGAAAATTGTATTGTTTTATATTGTTCATGTATTCATAGATGTTTGTGATTTGTTTTGTAGGATGGCGGATGATGATGGACCTTGGTATGCCGGATTAATCGATGAGTGGGATAAGGAGCATCGTGCTCGTGCCATTGAGAATGGAAAGGTAAGAAGCAAGACTTGTCAAATTTCTTTATTTCTCATTTGTGTTCTTGTATTGATCAAAACATCACTTTATTTGCAGCTTGTAGTTGCTATGCGCATGAGGGGTCATTCCGCTGATGGCTTTACTTACGACCCGCGGTACGAGCCTTATATTCGGAGATTGGGTCTTCTCCCATTCGTGTTGCAGTTTAAGCGACGCGCTCCGCCGGTGAACCACGCGGCGTTGACCGCACTTGTGGATCGTTGGAGGCGGGAGACTCACTCGTTCCACCTTCCATGTGGGGAGCTGACGATGACCCTAGAGGACATGGCTATGATAAGCGGCCTTCCTATCGACGGACAAGCTGTTACCGGTCGTGTCAGCGTCGTTAATTGGCGAGAACGGACAGGCATTTTAATTGGTGTTCAGCCCGACGACCCTCAAGAAGGCAAGGCCGATACCGCGAGAGTGAGGCATTCTTGGCTAAAACTAGTCAGAGGAGACACCAATCCGTGCCCTCAGGGTGCCAATGACGTGGTTGTGCAGCAGTACGCGCGGGCCTATCTTTGGTATGTACTAACCAAGGTAGTCTTCTCAGATGCAACCGGGAACTCAGCCCTCTGGATGTTCTTGGAGCTACTCAATAACTGGGATACCCAGTATAGCTGGGGTTCGGCTGCACTAGCATATTTGTATCGTCAGGTAAGAGATATTTGCAACCATTTATCTTGCATTTGTCATGCGCCTCCATATCTAACATGTTTGTTTGATTGCAGCTTGACTTGGCGTGTCGGAGGAAGGGAGATACATCCTCATTGTCTGGGTTTGTTTGGAGTCTATCCGTGTGGATGTGGGAGCGGATCCCGGTTGGACGGCCCGATTTCAAGAACCCCCTCATGGCAAACCCACGGGGTAATCATGACGGGTTGCATGATGATGATCCATATCGGCGCCCTACGCTTGCTTACTATTGGGAACAAGTGACAGTCTACACAGGAAGCTCGCATGTGCGATACAAGTGCTATATGAACGAGCTGGACACCTTGACTGCTGAGCATGTTTTGAGAAGTTTGATGAGATAAAATTTAGTCAAGAATGAAACTTATGTAGCTAACAATGTATCTCTTTGTTTTGCAGGTATATTGGTTGCCTTATGTGGAAGATCGTGACTTTGATCTTAATGAGATGTGCACGCGTGATAGCCATCTTTAGTGGGCGAGGTGCCCAATGATATGCTTCTTCGCAGTCGAGTGGCACTTTGTAGACCGTGTGGCAAGACAATTTGGAAGAAGACAAGGTATTTCAATTGAGGAGAGCAAGGAGGAAATGCTATCTCTGCATCGGTAAGGAAGCATGCCTTGAGTATGTAGTAGAGCATTGAATAAGTCAATATTTGCTAATGCTTTGTCCCGTGCATCATTTGTAGGTTCGAACGAAGGAACAATCAGGATATATCGGATTGGGCAAACAAACACCGTGCGTGGATAGAAATTTGGAATCAAAGAGATACGTTAGTGCAATCAGAGAATAGACCTCACAATCAGTCAGCATATCAGAAGTATCAAGTGTGGTATGCGGATCGTTACCGGTTAAAGCTGAAGCCTGGTTGGACTCATGAGGAGTGGTCGGAGTTGGTGTCTGAAGACCCGGAGACTGCACAAGGTTATCAAACCTTCAACACGGCTGTGAGAGACACCAGAGGGGCTCACGTTGACTATGCACCGATGTAGGATGAAATGGTAGTCTGTTTGACCTATTCTAACATACTTGCATCATGTTGTCTTCTTTCAAATACATAAGTTTGGTGTGTTCATGAATTGCAGGGCAGAGAGTTGCTTCTGTGCGTCAACGATGCCAGTGTTGCACTGAGTCATCCACCTGGTGGTGCATTATCTGAGAGGACTCTTAGGAGCACGATGGAGGTGTGATCAATATATTATAAAAGTTTCTTTTCGCAGATTATTTATGTGCATCTCATATCATAGCATATTTTGTCTTATTGCAGAAGTTCAAGAAGCGGTTTCATAAGATGGCAGCAATGCTTTCTTGCCATGGTGCTCAGTCCAGTGATGTGTATGCACCTGGTAGCCGCACCGCCACAGCTAATAGACGGCGTTATCTACAGAACGATGAGGACATGGAGGAGGAGTTCCATGAAGAGGAGCCATCACATCAAGAGGAGCCAACACATCATGAGGAGCATGAGTATGATGCAACACATGAAGAGGATCATGAGTATGATGTTGATGCTCCACAACCATCATAGGTTACACAACCAACACAAGGCAATGCTCCACAACCATCTAGGAAAGGCAAAGACATAGCTAAGACACCAGGTAAGAAAGGTAGAAAGAAGACATGGAACACACAATTCCATAGTACGGAGTATCCTCATGAGCTTATCCCAATAGGAATGCAAAGATATAAGGCCAACACTGAGGCGGAGGAGGAGGCATACAACGAAGAGGAGGAGGAGGAGACTAGCGAAGAGGAGGAGCCTACACTTGCAACCATGGTGAAGAGAGGAAGGAGGAAGTGAGCTTCTTGTTGTCGTGGTAAAAACTTCTTAGGTTGTCTTGAATTTGATGTCTTATGTATGCACTTGATGTCTTATGTATGCATGAATTTGTCGTGATGAAAAATCTGTGGACTTGTTGTCGTTTGTATGCAAGAATTTGTCGTGGTGAAAATTCTGTGAAATGTGCTATCTTCTGTGTTCTATGAACCTGTCATATTATTATATATGTGCTGTCTTCATGTGTCAAATAGTATGTCAAATATTATGTACATGGACCCAGATGCCAGGGTCATTGGCGTCTGGTCTAAAGTCATGGGGGCAGACACCATGGTCCTTGGCGTCTGGTCTAAGTCAGGGGAGCAGACGCCATGGTACTTGGCGGCTGGCCCTGGTGTAGTAGTTTTTTCATTTTGTTCATATTTTGTCACAGCATAGTATCGAATGACATATATATTTTGTTCTAGCAAACACCCATAGTATCGAATGACAAATATTAGTGTTCACATAATAGCAAATGACAAACATAGTTCATGACCATGATGGTCTACGATACAATGTCTCGAATGACATAGCAAATTACAAACATAGTTCAAATTACACAAATAGTCTCGAATGAAAAGTTCATCACATACAATGTCTCAAATGACATAAGTAGTTCATGACCACGATGGTCGAAACGACATGAACATCACATATAACTCGGTTTCCTGTAGCAATGCAAGTCAACAACCCTTTTCCATTCCCATTCTTCCAGCATTTCTTGAATCTTGTCATCATCAGTTATGTCAACCAATTTTCTTTCCCCGGGGCCATCTGACTGCCTCCTGCTGACGTAGTACACAAAATCCTCTTCCTTCAACCCTTGCTTCAACATGAATTTAGTCTTCAACCAATCGAAAGTGAGGTCCACTTCACTAACTTGCACAACACATGGAGACAAGCCTTGGACATGAACAACAGGGCTAAGCACCCACTGCTTAGCCATCTACAACACACAAATCTCTTAGTAGCTAACCTATCTTACATTAAACCACGAGGAAAACAAACTAGGGTTTTCACAAAACTATAATACATTAAACCAACCAAAAAATAGGGGTGGAGTTGATTTACCTTCTAGTTTCGAAATCCTGAAGATCCAACGGTGAAACCGGCCCAATTCGTGAGAGATTTGAGGGGGGTTAGGGTGCTAGATGAGGGAGAGACGTTGGCAGGGCTAGAGGTGAGAGTGGGTGGATATGAATGAAATGAGAGGGGTAGAGGAGGAGATGAATGGATGATAGGGCTAGAGGTGGGTCCAAAAAATCTTATCCACTCAAATCTTATCCATCAGACAGATAACTGTAAAAATGCTCTCTGGATACCAGACGCCACGGACCTTGGCGTCTGGATGTCCATCAGACACATCAGACAGGGTGTCTGGTCTCCTGCGCGAGCAAAATGATCCAGACGCCAGGGTCCCTGGCGTCTGGGTGTGGCAGGCAGACGCCATGAACCTTGGCGTCTGGGTGTCGATCAGACACATCAGACGGGATGTCTGGTCTCCTGCGCGAGCAAAATGAGCCAGACGCCAGGGTCCCTGGCGTCTGGGTGTGGGAGGCAGACGCCATGAACCTTGGCGTCTGGGTGTCCATCAGACACACCAGGCATGTGTCTGGTCTTCTGCGTGAGCAAAATGAACCAGACGCCATGGACCTTGGCGTATGGGTGTGGACCTGGTGTTTTTGCACACACTTCTGTCTTTTTGCTTAGCAACTTGTAACACACACTGTTAAATATGAACAAAGCATGCTAGTCTCAACCAAAAATATGAACAAAGCATACTAACTAGTCTCGAATGACGAACATAGTTTGCACATTCTCAAATAGTCTCGAATTACAAGTTCATCATACACGATGTCTCGAATGGCATAAGTAGTTCATGACCACACAAGGTCTCGAATAACAAGTTGATACATTAAACAAAGTCTCGACAGTTCATCATCGACGCCGGTGCCTTTCCATTTGTCTACTGAGTAGTATGGGGCCACTTTCCCTTCTTGGCACGTGCCTCGTCCTCCTCTCGTGCATCGCGAGCCCTTGCAAGTTTTCTTGCCCTCTCTTCTTGACGAGCCTCCTTCTCTTTGCGTGCCCTCTCTTCCTCACGCTTCTTGCGCTCACGAGCCTCCTTCTCACGACGCTCCCGCTCCAATCCCCGTGCATAGGACTCCTCGAATAGGCGCTGCCACCGTAACCAATCTCGATGTTGGTCCTCTTGGACATCTTTTGGTACCTCGTGATCTATCCAAGTGAAGTACTTGCAAAGTGGAGGAGGGGACTACATATAAACCATGTTTTTGTTAGACATATGAGTGACAACTTGTTGATGTTTTTTGTATGTACACCTAACATACGGGTGGTATGTCATATGCGTTAGTTGGCCTTCGATGATCATGTGCATAGTTGGGACACACGAAAAACCTTCTACCTTCTGTCCATGACTTGTTGCGGTCAGTGGACACCTTCAGCTTGCAAACATCAGCACACCAACATGATGGTGTGGGCACATCCTTCTCCTTCTCCTTGTCCAAACTGGCCTCCATCCACGTCTTTGGCATGTCCTCTTGGTCCGCGCACGCCGGCCTCGTCCTGGAACCGGATGAAGCCATGCCTACAAAAAGAACAATTGTTAGCACAAGACATAAAGAGAGTAAATGCGTAAATACAGTAAATGAATAAATGCTAGGAATTGTATGAACAAATAATATACCATTATTATTAGATCAACCATCTGGATTAGGAAAATAACCGAAGGCCGATCCATTATCAACCATTCCTCTACGACCACCACCACCTCTAGCACTTGTGCTTCCTCTCCGACCACCACCACCTCTAGCACTTGTGCCTGCTCGACCACCACCTCTAGCATTTGTGGTAGCTCGACCACCACCTCTAGCACTTGTGCTAGCTCGACCACCACCACTAGCACTTGTGCTTGCTCGACCACCACCTCTAGCACTTGTGCTAGCTCGACCACCACCTCTAGCACTTGTACTCCCTCTACGAACACTAGCACCTCTAGCACTTGTGCTTCCTCTACGACCACCACTACCACCTCTGACACTTGTGCTTCCTCGACCACCACCACCGTCACCTCTTCCACCTCGTTCACCATCGGTGCCGCCTCCACGACTTGTTTTTCTTTTTTTGGTTTTCTTATTCTTGCATGTCCGCTCGTTGTGTCCCCCTTCACCGCAACCCCACAGTTGATAGTGTCAGGAGCCTCCATGAAATGACTGCTACCAAATTGTTTCATGCCAGTGTATCCAGCCAGGTCATCCATATCACCCCTGAACCTCTTAGTTCTCCTTCTACTCTTCGTCTCCACCTTCAGAAGAGGGTCTGGCATAATATGAGGTCCATGGTACTCAGGCCACTGTGATTGGTCCAAGAAAGGGCGAAATCTTGGCGCCCATGTCAACCTAGTAGCTTCCAGATGGAACTCTTGCATCCGCGCGGTTTTTCCATCACAAACATGTATGTTTCTCGCCTTCGCCACCATTATCAAATGCGAGCATGTCCAATGATACTTACTAGGCCTCTCGCACTGGCACCACCGAGTCTTCAGTTTCACCTCAAATGCAGCACCACCATATTGTCTACCGTCTCGTGTTGTGCCACCTGGCTCATCAATTTGATAGATCATTTCAATTCTATCGAATATGATAACCTGTTGCCGTGAAGACTTGCTTGCTTGTAACTGCAACCATTCATCAACCTTTTCCGGATAATCCTTTTTTTCACCTATCCATTTTGTAGTCTCTTCAGAATGCCTCTGAAAGTACTCATTAAGCTTCAAGAAGGTGTACTCCACTATTGCAGTCACCGGCAATGCACGAGCACCCTTCAACACATTGTTGAAACATTCTACCAGATTGCTCGTCATGTCGCCATATCGCCAACCACCATCGTCATGAGCGCGTGCCCACTTGTGCTTCTCGCTTAAATTCCTAGTTAAGAAGTCTTTTCCCCCTTCATTCACCGCTACAAAGAGTTTGTTGTACCGAGCATCGAAACCTTGGGTGGTGAAGGCCACACATACATGGGTAAGGTCTTTGCTGAGCTCCTTGCTCTTACATGCCCGGTAAAAGTTGGCCACGAAATGCCTCATGCACCATCTGTGGTGAAGCTTTGGAAATCCTGGAATAACAATGTCCATTGCCTTGAGTATGCCATGATGCCGGTCCGATATGATGCATACCTCCCTAGCCCCAATCACGTTATGCCTAACATGACCCATGAGCCACTCCCAGTTTTCTTGGTGCTCGGAAGGCACCAAAGCAAATGCACACGGCAACACATTGTCGTTTGATGAGTGCGCCATTGCTACCATTAGTGTGCCCTTGTATCTACCGGTCAAGAACGTGCCATCTATAGACAAGACCGGACGACAATGCTGAAATGCTTCCACACATTGTCCATAACTCCAGAAGGCACGGTGGAACACTCCCTCGTGATCCTCGACCACATGAAACATGCCCGGGTTCCTATGTGCAATGGCGGCCAACAACTTTGGGAGCTGGTTGTATGCTTCTTCGTAACCACCATACAACATCCTAATAGCATTTGCCTTTGCCTTCCATGCCTTCCCATACTTGACTTCATAACCAAATTGTTTTTTCACCGTCCGCATGAGAAACCTCACTTTCACAGTGGGATCAAAGCCTATGTCTTTCATCCATTTGTATCCGAGATACTCAGATGTGAGTTGACGGTGTGTCTTTCTAAGTCGTTTAGATGGAGGTTTGCATCTATGAGTGGCAACACAACTTTTTAACACCCATTCTTCGGTTTCTTTAAGCTTTCTTGCACGAACCTTCCATGGGCATCCTTCTTGCTCACACACCACGGTGTAACGCAACTTCATGTCGGAGTGCTCAACATAAAATGGCCTATGGTTTCGAATGGCATAGTCAGCCAACCAAAACTTCAGCATAGGCAAGCTCAGAAACTTCACTCCTTTCTTCAAATAAGCATTCTCGTCCTCATTCTCCACCCTTGGTTCTCCTGGATCCGGGCATGGTGTTGGCTCAATCGCCGTCATTCTCATTCCACCGTCAACAACAGCTTTATGGGCAAGGCTGGGATCTTTAACAAGTGAGTTCTTTTTTGTAAGCCCGTCAGCTCAAAGTGGATTTGGTTCTCCTCCTTTGTGAATCCATCCTCGTCCAACTGTTCAACTGGACCCTCGTCATCCGAGTCATACGCATATTGACGCCTAAAAGGCAAGTCACGATCCATGTCCTTTTGCTCTATGTACGCATCCAAGTCACCAACATCATTACCATGAAACCCTTCCTCTTGCTCTTCGTCGTCATCATAAGCATCTTCATCCTCTTGAATTACTCCGTCACTAGCAATCACCTCAACTTCATTTGCTTGGCTAGTTGGTGGTTGGCTAGAAGCATTGGGGGCATACAACTCAACCTCATTTGCTTTAATAGATGGTACACGGGGATGTGGTGGGGGATAAACATTGGGGGCATCAACCACAACCCTATGCTCAGCAAGTGGCACCATTGTCCTCTCGCTCATGTCATCCATTGGGGAAGAGACATGCCGGTTCAAATCAAAGGTAAAACGAGGAGGTTCAACCTTGGTGGCAAACAATTCAAGTGACTTGTCTTCCGATTGGGATACCTTTTCCTTGTATACATCCCAATGCAAATCCGAGGTGATAGGCATAATTTTCAAGCGAGATTTGGCTCCAACTCCAACATCATACCTTCCTATTAACTTAACATCCACTTCAAAACTTGTCTCACTTTTGCAACAACATCCTCATAGCTAGGGCTTGTATCAAAAACCAATGGTTCCTCACCCGTGTCGGCATTGTTACTCAAGAATGCCTCCTTGTTAATGTAATGAACATTAACAAGTCTCTCCATCTAAAAATAACATGAATGCATTTAAGACTTCAATGAGAATTGGTGTTTATCCAAATACATCTTATTATATCCAAATCATATCAACACTAAATTATTGGTCATGTCCACAAAAAGTATCACTAATTAACCCACACTAAGCAAAGTTAACCCTAATCACTAACTGACCGTAACCCCCAATCTTTCTACTCAACAAACATATATTCCTACTACACACCATGCATAGCACTATATCATCAAAGTTAACCAAGCCATTCACACTAACATAAGGGGGAGAAAACATGAACTAGGGTTCCACCAACATGTATAAAATGCAACCAAAATAACAAGATTTAACAAAAAATAATTGGATGATTTGGGGGAGATTACCAAGAGCAGCAAAGTGATAGAAAGATCCACCTAAGGGATGCACCTTTTGGAGAGGATTTGAGGGGGAGCTTGAGGGGTAGGAGAGAGTATGAGAGCTCCAAGTGTTCTTCAAGCTTGGGTTGTGGATTGGGGAAAGTGTGTGAGGTGGGTCCCACACACTCTCCCGTGGGTTATCCACTTACCAGGGCCAGACGCCAGGGTCCCTGGCGTCTGGCCCCTTTGCCACGTCAGCTGGTCAACGTGCAGGCGGGCAGTGCGGGCCAGGGGCCAGACGCCAGGTATCCTGGCGTCTGCTTCGCAACCCAGACGCCAGGGATGTTGGCGTCACCTAAAAAGGTCAGAAACGAAAAAAAATTCAAAGCTAGGTCGAATCGGGATTTTGTTAGCCTTATAGGTCATAACAGTAATTTTGTCCCCTCAGGGCCGAGCAGGAATTTGATGACAGCAAGCTTGGATAGGCCGGGGCTAATCAGTTCTGCCCTCGAAGGAACATGCTTCCAAAGCTAGACAAGGAGGCCGAAGACAGCGTGCTAGCCAAGAAGCCCGACCGTCCTCCTTAGGGCCGAGATAGGCAAGCAGGCGGGTACAAAAATCTTACCAAAGTATCCTGGCGCCGAGGCAGACTAGATCCACCGCGGCCCTTCAAGAAATACGATCTGAGGGATAAATTATTGTTAAGGTCAGAAGCTCCACCTTGATCATTCTACAAATCTATGGAACGCCCACCTGCTCGACAGGCAAACCACATACTTTTTAAAACAATTATAAAAAAATTTAAAGGCAAACATTCCTCCAATTTGTGAACAAAAAATGTCAAAATGCGACCATGTTTTAAAATTGTAAACCATATTTAAGAAAAGGAACATATTCTGGTAGAGATGGGCATAAAAACCGAACGACGAACCGATAGCAAAATCAAAAATACTGAATTTTTGGTTTTTGTTGTTGGTACGGTAAAAGTCGGTTTTTACTTGAAATAACTGAATCCAAATCGGTCGATTTTGTAGGAAACTGAGGAACCGAAGGAAAAGGAAAGCACTAGGTTCCCTCACGCCAGAGGCGAAAAAAGTTGCAAAAATGGTTTGAGAAATCGAAAAGGTTCACAAATTCGAGAAAGAGTTCACAGTTCGAAGTTATAGCTGGTGGAAGTAATCCAAGAGGTCCATAGTTTGAATCCTGCTTCATGCACCTATTTTTTGAGGGTTAAAGAATGAAAAATAAATAAATGGGCCAAGCCAAGGATGAAAAGGTGTGTGCTCTGGTTTGTGTGATGCTACTCCATATAAAGCCGGAGCTCATAGTTAGCGCTTGCTGTGCTAGTTAGCGGCACTCGCATGGCTCCTTTCATGGGGCCGGCCGAACTACGCGAGCAATCAGTTGTCGCTTGTGGGGAGCATACGCCCAATCGCTTCTTTGTGGTTCAACCAAACAAACCTTCATGATTAACTTGGTCGACAAGTTGACCATTAACTGTTGACTTTCAACAAGTGGTTCATCTATTTGGAAAAGTTCATGGATCTAAAAAAATGTTCGTGGATCTGCAAAATGTTCGCAAATTAAAAAAAATAACGTGAATAGAAAAAAATCATGGATTTTGAAAACAAAGTTCAAGGATTTGAATTTTTTTTACCGATTTTCTAAAACAAAGTTCATCGACTTTGAAAACTTTCATTCATTTAAAGAAAGGATCGTCGATTATGATAAAAGTTCATCGATACTGAATGAATTTGAAAAAAGTTCACCAATTTTGAAAAAATGTTCACAAATTTTAGAAAAGTTCATTGATGTTAAAAGAGAAATTAAAAAAGTTTGCACATTGCAAAATAAAAAGGAAAACAAAAATGGAATGGAAAAAAGAAGAGAAAACGAAAAATGAAACGGATGGAGTGGTTCGCTGCTGAACCCTTCTTTTACTACTAGCCTCCTCTGCAGCACTGTCCGTCTCATCACATCAACCGCATCGCATCACCAGACCAGAACGGCTAGCAGGCAGAGCAGAGAGCCATGCTGAAACGGCGGAGGATATGGATAGCGGTGGATGAGTTGGAAGCGCAGAGAGCGATGGAGGAGGAGAACCGAGAGCGGCGACGGCGAGAGGGCGAGGGAAGGGGAACCGCGGCGGCTTGAGAAGACGAACAGATCTGCGGCCAGCAATGGCAGCATCGATCTGGATCTTCTTGACTGCACCATCTGCATGGATCCCCTCCGCCCTCCGGTCCTCCAGGTACATCTCCTTGTTTATCCCCTCTTTTGCTTCCCTTGTTCGAACGAGATTGGTAGACTGATTTGTTGGATAGCACCATTTGCCCTATTCGGTCTACCACTGTGTTTGGAGATTGGGTTGCCAATGCCTGAATGCCATGCCCTGCCTGTAAAATAAAACCGTAAGTTTGGGCAGAAATCATAGAGTACCAAATAAGCTCACCCTACCCTCCCCTCGAGGTCAAATTTGTGTGCTGTCGAAATTACTGTATGAGGCACCAGCAAACCGAAAGCTGAATCCTTGATTGAAACATTAACCAGCTGAATCCTCAACTATCCAATGACAACCTCATTACATTGCAAGAGGATTGATTGCACTCAAGTGTACTGCTCTTCGGCTCTAGTTTTTTTTTTTTTTTTAGAAAAGGAGGAGGACCCCCGGCCTCTGCATCCGGGCGATACATACGGCCACTTTATTAATTATTTTCACTAGACCTTACAAAGTCATACAACAGTAAGACTAAAGCCACCTTCTAAGCAACAACTGTCGCTACTCCTATCCAATTGATGAAGGGGCGCCGATAGTCTGGGCCTAATACCAAACAGACGTCGCAGCCAAACCTAAACATTTAAGACCTGAGGTCCCAACCAGGACGCCTGCCGGGTATGGGGCACCTACCAGTCCGGCGCACTCCTCAACCAGGACGCCTGCCGGGTATGAGGACGCCGCAGCCACCTGCATAAATCATTTCCATGCCACACCATCATTACTTTTCAGCAAGAACAAATTGATCAATCAGGTTTGCACGGTTTCTCATTGTTGTTTCCCTGCAACCTTCTGAACTGAAACTGAATATCTATGTTTGCAGCATAACCATCATTTTCACAAGCAGGCATCTAACCATAGTGCATTTTCCTTCTTGGTACACAGTGCACAGTTGGGCATGTAATCTGCTCGTCCTGCCATGGCAGCCTACTGAACAAGGACAGCTGCCACATGTGCACGGCCACCGGCGGCTACAATCGATGCATCGCGCTCGACAAAATTCTTGAGTCATTCTGTGTTTCCTGCTCCAATGCCGTGTACGGGTGCACTGTGAAGACACTCTACTACAAGGCTAAAGATCATCGCAATTTGTGCCCGCACGCGCCATGTTTCTGCCCAGGACCCGCCTGCAGCTTTGCCGGCACAACCGTCAAGCTCCTGGCTCATCTCACCGGCGATCACAAGTGGAAATCCAAGGAGGTTAAGTACGACGCCAAGTTCACTCTGCCTGTCAAAGAAGGGACGTGGGTTCTCCATGCCCAAGGCCACGCGCCCCTGTTCCTGGTGAAATTCACCCCGGCGCCGCCTTTCGGCAACGTCGCCTCCGTCCTGTGCGTCGGTCCTCATGCCACTGCTGAGCATAGGTTCAGGTGCTGTCTTCGTTGCAGTGGCCCCGCCATCGGTCAGCAGAAATCCTCTGATTTCCTGGTCAGGAGCACCACCCTCTCCGATGGGTTACAGCTGACAGAGTATGATGGCTCCTTACTGTTTGCTTCTAGCACCCGCAGCATCACTGCCCATATCAGAGATGTAGTGCGTGACAAGCATAAGCGTGGGATGTCGATCCGTTTGCGGTAGCTAGTTGATCCTTGTTTGTGCGAAGACAGTGTGTTGTGTCAAGAGTAAGCGTGGGAAGGAGATGGAACAAATTGAACTTCCGTATGTTGTAGCTAGTTGACCCGTGATGGCTGTGTACCTCAACCGATGCACAGGCTGCGAGTACTTGAAGTGATCAAAACATGTTTACAGAGTTATTGTTCAGGTATCCATGTACGCATTTACCTAATGCTTCCATCCCAACATTGATGTCATTTTGGCTAGCTGAAAGCATATATGTAGTGTATGCTCCATGGAGAAATTCCTTGTGCCTTTTTGGATTATTAGCAGACTCCATTAACTGATTGGGTGCCTACCTGCCTTTTGATAGCTTGCTGTTGGTTAGACTCGGTTCGAACAATTTATACCAGTTTTCAATATGACATGTAAGATGTTGGGTGACCTCTTTTCAGCAGCTCTACACATGTTACTCTCTTGTTCAAGCTCTGGTACTAAGATTTTGATTAGCAAGTACTACTAAACATGCACTTGTGTTACATGTAAATTAGTTGCATGCCATGTTGAGAACTTGCCTTCTTGGCTCTTGATTTTTGGAGTTATTACCTGGTTCTGCTTTTTATGGATAAGACTATTGAGATGCAGCCGTGTTGCTTTGCCTCTAATATTTCCATTCCACCATGATGGACGGCTGCAGCAACACACATCTTTATTGTCTCTACCCACATGCTCTTGTTCTACATGACCAGATGTTCAAAACATCGTCGTGTCAGTGCTGGCCAAGGAAATCCAGATGGTTGTCATGTAGGTGATCTCTATGTTAGCTTCAAGGTCAGCCTCAACAGTCAATGGGAGGTTTATCCCTAATAAAATGTTCATGTGGAAAATAGAAAATATATTAGATCTTGTTTGGTTAAGTAAGCAGTTTTGTGATTTGAACGCCAAAAGTATTTAATTCCAAAGTTGTTTTGTGTGCGCAGGCTTATCTGAGTGCAATCATCTTATGCACATGATTTTCAAATTTCAGTAAGCTCGGAATGCTACAGTGTTTTCTGAAAGTAAGTTATGCATTGGTGTTAGACTGATAGTACATTGGCATGTAAAATATTTTGTTGTTGTGATGGTTGAATTAAATCACCTCTCTCCTCTTCTGTTGTACTGCAGGGTTGGTTAAACTGCTGGCTGCTTTTGAGGAAGGTTATGGTGAAGAATCAAGTGTTTTGCTCAACAAAGAGCCATTAATCACCTTGACCATGTTGTATGTCCTCTGATTTCTTCAGTTAAAAGGCCATCGATTGCTGAACTGTGTCTACTCTGCTACACTCCCTTATGATATCCTACTTCCTCCGTAAACAAATATAAGAGCATTTAGATCACTATAGTTCTTTACAGAGGGAGTATATCAGTAAATGCAGACAAACGAATTACACAACTATGTTTTTTTTTCTTTTACAGTACAACTTTGGGCTTGGGACTTGTAGTCATAGTGACAATGACATAAATGTTGCAACCTGCAAATCAATGTTACATTGCTGCTGTGACAGTGTTTTGATACACACATCAGCGGTATGATGGTATTGTCACACGAAAATTCGAGAACTCTGGATTCGAAGTTATGGAATAAACAAGAACAATTTAACGAAGAAATTGTCGACAGGTGGAACTCTAATTCACTGCCTTTGTATTATGACATGCAGGGTACACTTTTGTAAATTTACTTCACTTGGTTCAACAAAGGAGAGCAAGATGCTGTTAACAAAGGAGGTAAGGCGTACAAGTACAAGTACGATATGCACTTGGTTCAACAAAGGGGTGCACATCATACTTGTACGCCTTACCTGACCATCAATAGCTAATGTATATGGGTGAGCGTACACTTTTAAAAGAAAATGTAGCAAAACATTCCATAATAAAAAACTCAAAACATACTCCACGTGTGCTGCCGATGTCCATTCGATTGGAGTGACAAGCCCACCACTATGCAAGTTTTCAAGCATCAAAGTTCAACAACGATCCTAGCTATGATAAAAGCAAACCTTCTTCCGAACATGCACATGACCAAATTATCACAAACTTCTAGATTTATTTGATTATAGCTTTGGCGATAAAATAAAACATCCAACTAGTCATGACTAGTAAACAACACTCAAGTTGCACCACGACATATCACTGCCGCCACACATATACGGTAGAGACCCCCGACTACGAACTTCTCCAACGCTAGTCACTTAGGGACATGATATCTTTGGGGGGCGAATGAGGAGGCGGGTGGTGGTGGTGTGCGGGTCGGAAGAAATATCTGGTACAACAAATGTATAGCTGGCCTCCTCCCCTGGGAACCCGTTGGAGAGATTCGTGCTTATGATCTGGAAATTTGAATGTTGGTGCCATCCCATGGTGCGGCTGTAGAAATCAACATCACACTCGAACCTATGATTCTCCGTCACAGCATGAGGATCAATGCACAAGATGGAGACAGCATTGCCGAAAGGCGGCACCAACGTGAACTTTGCTAGGAAAAGGGGTCCACCTTCTTCTTTCCTGTGGAGTACACGCATTCCTTCCTGCATATGAAGGGTGAAAGAATATCCATACGCGAACGCAGTGGCGGGCAACATGTGATCGGCAGTGAGATGGCGCTGGAGTTGGGTGGTTGAGCCTGCGAAGCCGCAACCGGGCTCAGGGCAGAAGCACGGCGCATGCGGACATGATTTCTTGTGTTCCTCTTGGTGGTAGTAGTGTGTCTTGACGGTGCACCCATAGATGGAGTTGGAGCAAGAGACCTTAGTAGACTCGAGGATGTGGTCAAAGGCGATGCAGCGGTTGTAGCCTCCGGTAATGGCGCACACATGGCAATTGTCCTTCTTCCGGAGCTTGTGATGGCAAGAGGAACATATCACATGCCCGACCCTACACTGCATTATATCATGAAGGAAAAGCATTAATCATGGGCTTGCCTATGAGAAAGATAATACCGATACACTTGTTAAAAACATTTGCATACACATAAACGAAGGAGACTCCGTGGCAGTTAGGAGGATGTTTGCCAAAAAAGTTCAAAGAAAATTTTGTTTTGGTTGAACGATGGCTTGGTGGGAGTTCGACCTCTTTGTACTCCTAGTTTCCTAGACAATTTAAATGAATGAGGTTTCCACTTGCCAAGGGTTGGAAAAAGAAGTCAAAAGACAGCAGGAGTTCCTACAACAATTAATCTATTAAGATAACGCATGAGAAAGAGTTAATGGAGGCACTAGGGTCATAGACCAAAGTAGTAAAAAAATAAAGTGCAAGGTGAATAAGATGAAAAATAATGAGGAAGAGAACCAAATGACTATGAACCTAGCCAAGAATTGGGTGTATCATTTACTTCAAAAATCAGGAAAGTTTGCGCAAGAGATCTAAATGTTAACAAATAGGGGGATGAGAATCCAAGGAGGTGCGACAAATTGAAGTCTCCGGAGGGCTCATGATTGAATATCTTGCCAAAGATAGGGTTGGTGCTAGGACTGACTCTAGAAAGATATTCATCCCTAATATAGTTTCTTCTAGTAATCCTAGTCTTGCTTAGATGACCTCCTATGCAGGGGTGAATCTGGGTTGCTCTTTTGATATGTTAATCATAACATTAATGGTATTAATCTCTTGAGGAAGTTAGATATGATCTCATGACACAAGCAAACTAACCAA